ATTGACATATCTAAATTCTTTAACATCTAATCTTTGACAAGTAGTAAATAAAAGCAAAAATACAAGAAAAAATATAAAATTAGTTAATTTAAGTGAATTTCATAAATGATCGGTTTACTACACGTATATATATTATATAGTCACTTACTAGCGAAAAGTTGTTCCATTATTTCTCTCGATTTTTGCCCGATCTACCTCACGCTACACAACCAACTATTTTAGAGACTTTTTCCATAAATCGCGATAGTGTCACTGTTAATTTAAGTTCTGCCACAATTTCCCTCTAGATTTACTACCTTTATACAACTATCAGTAGTAGAATAAATAATAAATAACATAAAATACGCTCCGTAAAGACTGACAAATCCACAAAATTTCAAATCAAATTCAAATGTGTCAAATGAATCGTCAAACAGAACTGTCAAGGATCCCTACCCTAGAGTCCTTTTTCCTCCCACCATGCATGAATACATGGATAGCATTAATGCTCCTTCCTTAATCTTCTTATTCAAAGATCGGTTTCCTGAAAGTTTTCTTACTACGGAACACGGTTCCTGAAAAATTCGGTAATAACTGTCACCAAACTAACCAGCGCGAGAAGTCTGGTTTATCTGGTCTTATTTGTCAATCAATGTCATTTATGTGACAAATAAAGAAAACATGAAAAACAAGACAACAAGTAATCGTGAATGTTTTGTAAGCTATAAAAATATAAATATTGATTAGATTTGTTTATTTATTATTGATCTGTTTTAATATTGGACCTGCAAATCTTCACTTGAGCTGTCTAACGAGTTTAACAGTTTATTAATAAAGCACTTTTCAATATTCAACACCATTGAAATGAAGAAGCAAACGCAAAAACAGAGAATAGGTACATTAAACATAAAAACATTAAAGATAAATTTTATAACAGAGGTATTAAAATTTAGAAAACGTCAAAATTTGACGTTTCCAGTATTTTCGTTCAACAAACGTTCCGTATCAATCCGATGTTTTTCAGGAACCACTCTGTACCGTATATAGCTTACCGGTTTGGTTCGCCTGGTTTTGCAACGGAATACAGTCTTAAAATCGGCTTGTCCAAATTTGTTCAAATTTTGCATGTGTATTCAGCATACGCAGGCCCTTAAAAACCTATTTACGACCTCTTCTTTTACTTATTTGAGATCTAGTCGATTAGATGTTAGATTTAAGGTTGCCTCTGTAGGAGTTCTTGGGATACTGCCAACTGTCTTTCCATCTTTTTGGAAGTCTTCCCGGCTGTCTCTTACCCATGGGTTTGCCTTCAAAAGCTATACGTGGTAGCCTGTTTTCTTCCATGCGTTTTACGTGTGCGGACCAATTGTGTTTTTCTTTGCCTACCCCATCTCACTACGTCCTGTATTCCACATTGTTATCTGATCTTGTGTTTCTAATTCTGTCTCTTCTAGTCTTCCCCATTATGGTTCTTAGGTTCTTCATTTCAGCGACTCTTAACATGCTTTTGGTTTTGTTTGTTTCCTTTGCTCCCTTTATTTGGCTTCATCTTTCTCTGGTAGAACGACATATCTATTCCTAGGTATCTAAAGTGTGTAGCCACTCTTAGCTGCAAAATTAATAGGGTAGCCAATATTTGAACAGTTCAAAATTTGCATGGGATGTTCTGTTTCCAACCACGACCATCACCCGGTATACTGACAATGTTTCCACCAGTAAATACATATTCCAAAACATACATAATTTTGGGAATTTGCCACTTTTTGCATATCATTTTTTTTCTCTCGATCTTGTTCTCTCGCAACCGTGGCAATCATATATTCTTGTACCTACAGAATTGCTCTACAAAAAAGGTCTCTTACAATTTTTCAATAAACCTACTCCTTCAAAAGTTATTCCTACCATTTATGTATAGCTAATTTGTTTTAATAAACAATATTTATTAAAATAAATCAGCTATATTCAAATCAGCTTAAATGATTTAAACTTCATTAGACTTGAAGATTTCTTAATTCTCAACCTTAACACCATCAGAATTGTATATTTTTACAGTAATAGCAACTAATAGATTAAAATTTTCAAAAATAATCATAATTTTTTCAAAAAAGTTGGAGAATTTAGGAATTTACCGAGTGGTTAACTTTAACCGTAAATAACTTTTGAAGGAGTAGGTTTATCAAAAAATTGCGAGAGACCTTTTTTGTAGAGCGTTCAATTCTGTATAAGAATATATAGTTATCATGGCTGCAAGAGAACAAAATCGAGAGAAAAAAAATTATTTGCAAAAAGTGGCAAATTCCCATGTAATTTAAATGGAAAATGAATCGACTTTGGGGCAGGGTTTATTGTGAATATTAAGGGTTTACAATGGTCGTTAGAGGGCGTCACGTCGTGAGAGAAATGATCAACTTGGTAAATAACGGACACCCTAAAGCCTTGTTCACGTAGACGCGAATCGCGATTTTGCGAAACTACTCTCATTGGTCCAATTTTACTGATCATGGCGGCGCTGTCAGAAATTTTAAGATTTTGGCGATTCGCAAGATTTAAAATTTGGGGGGCGAGAAAGTTAAAGTTTTTTCAACTTTTTGCGAATATTCGCGCGATTTTAAGGTTCGCGTTTGCGCAGAATGGTGTGGTGATCCGGTTGTCGATTATTTTGACGACGCTGCCGCAAAGTAACTGAAAGCATTTCTCCAGTTGAAATGGGTTCTCGTGCATAATAAGTTTTTGATATACAGGGTTGTTCACCACATACGACACGGAGTATTGTAGCTAAACGATGAGATTTTTACAAATTGTAAGCTTTGGGTTCGTTGAAGGACTATTAGAGCTACAATTTAAAAATATTTTTACAAGATACAGAGTGTCCCAAAAAAATAAAAAATAGCAAAGTTGTATTTTTTTAAATGGAAAACCCTGTATGTTATTACATTTTTCGGCTTCTACGATTAAAATAAAGGTAAATTTGATTAAGGTTTATTACACTTAAACCTTAACTTTTTTTGAAATATTTTCAAATTTTGTAAATTGCAGTATAAATTTTAAAGCTTCATTTCTCCGAGGATATCAAAGTCTTTAATACTAAATATTTACTGAAGTTTACTTATTGATCAGTTATTGTGTTACAATAATAAAATTATAATACCTTATACAGAGTGTCTAAAATTTATTTAAAATAATTACTAGCTTTAAACGGCAATAACTTGTTTAATTTAAATGGAACACCCTGTATATTTCATGAGAATCAGATGCACAATTTAATTGTTTATCAAATTGTATAATACCACTTTTTACCTATCCCTTCAAGTTTTCGTAGAAAATGCATTTTCTTATAATTCAGACCTCATTTATCAATATACCCATGGAATATTGACATTTTAGATTTTAAAACAGCAAATGTACAAAATGTACAGACCATATCATCGTTTTTAACAGTCGATAATATTACTAGCTCATATGTATGCAAAAAGAAAAATACTTAAATCTTTATAAAAAAGTAGAGTATACCATTATTTAAATATACCACCAGTATTTCCGCCCAAATACTAATTAATTACATACTTAATTGTGTTCGTTAATAAATTATTCTAAATAAATGTGGATTTGAATCAGATATCAATATAATAAAAAGTTATGAAAATGAACGTCTCTGTTGTTATAAATAAGCATTTGTCAAAAAATGAAATATCATTTTTAAGGTGTTAGTTTTTTACCACACTGTCTAATATACATACATAATTCAGATTTTAGTTACTTGGATCAGACAATTATTATTCATCAACGCAAACAGTCAATTAATGTAGTTTGAATACTCGAATCATATTAATTGGTCCTCTTTAACAAATATTTAAACAATTTATTATTTTTATTTTTTAATGAAATAAACGAACTATATCGACAATATTAGTATCTGTACTCTTAAAAAATTTGGTACATCTTTAAAAATATTCTAAAACATCAGTATTCCATGGGTATATTGATAAATGAGTTCTAAATTACAAGAAAATGCATTTTCTACGGAAACTTGAAGAGATAGGTAAAAAATGGTGTAATACTATTTGATAGAAAATTAAATTGTGCATCTGATTCTCATAAAATATACAGGTTGTTCTATTTAAATTAAACAAGTTATTGCCGTTTAAAGGTAATAATTATTTAAAATAAATATTTAGACACTTTGTATAAGGTAGTAAAATTTTTATTATTGCAACACAATAACTGATCAATAAATAAACTTTAGTAAATATTTAGTATTAAAAACTTTGATACCCTCGGAGAAATGAAGCCTTAAAATTTATACTGCAATTTCACAAAATTGAAAATATTTCAAAAACGGTAAGGTTTAAGTGTAATAAACCTTAATCAAATTTACCTTTATTTTAATCGTAGAAACCAAAAATGTAATAATATACAAGGTGTTCCATTTAAAAAAATACAACTTTGATATTTTTTATATATTTGGGACACTGTATCTTGTAAAAGTATTTTTAAATTGTAGCTCTAATAGTCCTTCAACGAACCCAAAACTTACAATTTTTAAAAATTTAATCGTTTAGCGACAATACTCCGTGTCGTATGTGGTGAACAACCCTGTATATGGTGACAATTTTTCAACTTCAACCAAGTTATCAAACTCCTGTACAGACAATCTGTGAAAGTTCCTAAATTTTTTCTCATCTTTTGTCCTTATTTCTTGAATTAAATTGCGATAAGCACCTTGTTGCTTACGAAATTTGAATATTTCACATGTCCGAAATAACCCATAAATGACCTATAAACCTGTGCTATAAACCCGTTCTGTTCTACGTTTTAACAATAAGTAAATGGCAATTTTGCGCCTTATTCTGTTCCAATCCCACAATCGTAATCAATATTCATAATCATTAAATAAATTTAAACTCATATTGTATGGTATAAAATATAAAATAAAGATCGTAAACACGAATACATATGTATAAAACAAATTAATTTATCTCAGGTTGAATGATTTTTTTTGGTAACTTTCAGTGGAGCAAAAATGAAATGTCCTTAAAAATTCGCGACTGTATGAAATAGGTCCAAATTTTGCGAATATTCTTTGGCGAATCGCTTTTCGCAAACCGCAATTCGCGATTCGCGTCTATATGAAACAAGCTTAATGCATAGGTCATGACTGGTAGTACACATTGGTCAAATGTTTTCTTCTTTAGAATTGAATATGATTGAGTTTCTTATTACCGGATTTCTAACGTAACAAATGTAGGTAATTTATAAAAAAGTTACAACATTAAAGATGCAATCTGCAATTTAAAACAACACAGCTACTTTTTGATGAAGCGTTTACCGTAATGTTGCAAAAGTCTTCAAGGAAATCGTAAAACCATTACACCAAATTAGTTTTTTCGGATAAAGCATAATTTTAAACGGTAAAATCTATTAGAACTTGTCGGGAAAAAATGATTTCTATTAACTGTACGGCTCATGCGAATCCGAAAATTTTACACCACATGTGCGAAGCTATAAAACTGGCGGTAAATCGTCAGACACAGATTATTGTCGAACGGTAAGTCGAAATGACGCGAAATACCTCACTTTGGCCGTGCCTAACGGTTTCCCCAATCGATTTTTACCTCGTCGATACGTTAGAAGCCATCGTAAATCGCGATACGTCGCCTCAAACCAGCACTAAATCTATTTTGTTCGGATGTAAATAATAAGCATAAACGTAACAGCAACAATAAAAATTAATATTCGTTTTAAAAACAAGCACGCTTTTAAAGCAGATTACACTAAAAAGTTCTGTTGTTTAAGACTCTATCCCACAGCAATAGAAAGTCAGCTTAGTCGATCAAATTATATATATAACTTTCAAAGAGATAGTAATTGTTGACAAAACAATAATTGTTGAAATAGATTTACGATTTTATAGTCCAAAAAGTCTTGTTTTGGGCGTGTTTTGCGTGATATTTTTTTGCGCGAGAGGCAACATAAGGTTTGTTCCAAAGTTCCAGCCCGTCGCAGAACCGTCACCGAACGATCACGCTCGTGCGCAGTAATTAAATGTGTTCCAACCGAGATTTGACGGTTATCGGACGATCCTATTAGCGTACTAACTAGAGATGGGCAAAAGTAACCGGTTTTTTGAATAACCGGTATTTTCCTCTAAAATAACCGGTTATTTAAAGGTAGTTTTTTTTTCACCAGTTAACCTAATAACCTTGCATTACGTTCAATAATTTATAGCCGGTTATTTTTTAAAAAATCGTACTTGTTTAAAACAAGTAACAATTAAATATTAGCTGTTTGAATCGTAAATTTCGAAGAAGCGAACGGCACGGATCTTCCAGATATTACGACGATAACGAGAGATCCCGCTCCGGCTCCCAAAACGAAAATATATGACATCAAACATCAAATGTCAAAATTAAATCAGGCATCAGGCGAACCCTGATGATAATAATCAAAACAACGGCCAAATGGCCCTGACAGGTCAGGCCGTAAAACAAAGTACTAATGGCATAGACTACTACTAGCCACCAGCTAGCCAAGTGATACGAACCTAACTTCAAATAGATTCTCTAAATTCTATATTTAAATTTTAACCGACTTTAACGGATTTTCAACGGTTCTTCAAAAGTCTTCCATGGTTTCGCCCAGTTTCACCCACGTTTCACCGTAAATATATTTTATTTGTAGTTTGAAGTCTCTCTTGAAGCTTAGACTAAAGAATACAAAATTAAAGTTCAAGTAATGAATGAAGATAATCTTTCATTATCTATTCATTCAGTCTCCTTATTTTTCTTTGGCATTTGATTAAAATAACTTGGTTGTAGATTGTAGAACTTGTGAGTTGTGTGGTTTATTTGGACGTTAAGTAATTACTAGTTTTAATATCATATCCATGTCTACTCAAAAAAGTGAGATTAGCATTTTTATTTAAATTCATTTTGTACATATACATACTTACATTGCTACAATCTCTATTTAATCATGCGATTTAACTAAGTTTATTATCTAAATTTGAAGTAGACTAATGGAGTGTAGAGGTAAGTAAACCTATAGGAAAACTAAATATTTAGTTTTGCTAGGTTAGGTTATTTGAATAACCGGTTAATTTGTGTCGGTTAATTTTGTCAAGTTATTATTTTTTAAAGATAATTCCGGTTAACCTATAACCGGTTTTTTACCAATAACCGCCCATCTCTAGTACTAACCTACCTTGGGATCGTTTGGTTCGGTACATGGTCCAAATTGAGAATTGTTTGGGTTGACTTGCGCATTAAAGCATATTGGCAGGGATTATCGATTTTTAATAGCTGATTCTGGTCCGGCGCATAGTGGGGCCGATTGCCATGTTTGCAGCCAGAACCTTATAAAACAGAAGTTGCTTTTTCAAAAAGTTTTGATGAAATATTATATTATGCACAGAAAAAAATTTTGGATGCAGATTTGTAACCAGTGAAGGGCAGTAATATCGAAGGTTTAGTTCTACCGTGTATAATAAATGCAATTTGTAGGGCCCGAAAAATAAGTAAAATTTCTTGGTTAATTTTTAAATACAATTAATTTTTTGCATTTTTTATAAAAGTACAATACTACTTGACTATTTCTAGCTATATTTTGAAAAAAAAACTTTTTCACTGATGCATACTAAATTAATTAATAAATTAGTATAAAATAAAAAATAAAATATGCTATTTAACCTTGAGTTCTGTTGAGTGCCCAAAGTTGCCCAATTTATTGGCTGATGTTTTTTGAAAGATTGGTCATTACCCTTCATGTATTTGTTACCATCTTGCGCAACTTTAAAAAAAATATTTTTAAATGTAAGTATGTCCCTGGTACTTTGAGTAATAGATACTATAGGTTTTTATGATTTATTTAGATTAAGTTCGTGTGATTTTAATAAAATCTGATACTCATGAATCGCCTGTAATCAAGCACATAGTTAGGGGGTCCAAGAGTCCTAGACCCTTCAGTCCCACTCCACCTCAAATCTACAAATTTTGTGGGTTTTAACTGAATTAATGCTTAGATCGAGGCTTAGATAATATACAATGTCCCCACTCCTTTTTATCTTTTAATGGAACAACATGGAGATTTGAAGTAAGGCAATATGTTTAAAAATATTACGTTTTAGTCTAAATATGACAGTTTAAAATTTCAAGTTGGCGGCTTAACTTATTAAAATATCCGCACGTAAATTCAAACTATGATATGTACTAAAATAATGAACCGATTTTAAACATTTAGGCATTTAAACAAATTATTTTTAAACACATTACATTACGCTAAATTTAAAATCTTTTAGTTGCTCCAATCCAAAAATAGAGGGAGAAAAAAAAATTCCGGCACCCAAAACCACCCTTGCCCCGAAATGGTTATTAAAATTTTTGGAACCCTCTCATCATCCGAAATTAATTTTTAGATGCTTACCTGTAATAGGTACTTGAAAAATCTAGCCCATACTTTCTTGATTACGTGCCGACTACTAATTTTGAGACATGTGAGACCACGATTGAAAATAATTATTTTTTTACTTCTTCAGAACTAGAATCCAAAAACAATATTTATTTTTTTAATCAAAGTTGTTGGTTACATACGGATAAAAAAATATATCAAACAGACCGATAAACAGACAGACAGACACAAGACAACAATATTCGAAATGGCTTGCAAGGCAAAAGTGTAAAAGTTTGGTCATCCGGGTATTTTTTGTTCACATTATATTGATGAGCTTATATGCTGGGTATATACGTGAACTATAATTTAATTAACTAAAATTTTGAAGATTGACTACCTAGAAATTCAATTAAGCAAAAACTGTTAAATTCTATATATTTTTGGTTGATTCATATATCTTTGAAGGTTTTGGCCAACGATTCTTCAATCGGCCCCATCACCGTGCGGCGTCCGGCTGATGGTTCTTTCTCTCTTGGTTATTTTTTAAGAATTCGAATACGTGTGCGTTATGCTTTTGCTTGTAAGTTTGTGTGGAGTAAATCGTTCGGAAATTTTAATTAATTTTTTATTTATAAAATAATGTTCAAAGATTCTACCACTGCAATGAAATAACAGGAAACTACGCATAACAGGATCATAAAAGAGAAGATAGGTAAGTGAGTTAGAGAGTATAAAGTTGAAACAACACTTACCAACAATCACTGGATTCTGATTCTCCATTTCAAGAATAATAATTATTATTATTGCAAATTGCAAACAAAAATAATAGGGTTATGTTATGAAATTCTAAACAAAAACAAAAAACCGATCGATACACGCACGCTTGACACTTTTGACAGTCCCGAAAACAATAAAGCGTTCCAACGTTGATACTTTATGCACAGTCACGAAACTCTTCGAAGTCCGCGAGTGCAAGAAAACTGATTCGAGTACGATTTCGAAACGATCCCGAAATGCTGGTTGGAACAAACCTATAATAAATTACGGTTAACTAAACCTCTGAATTTTCTGATAATTGAAATCTCATCAAAAATATAGAATGAAAAAAATGTCTAAAAACTATAAGAAAAAGGTATAGGTTAGTAGATATAATAAAAAGATTATGAGATATGAGAGTAGTTTCCAAAAATGAAATAACATACTGGGTGTTCTATTTAAAATAACAAAGATGCTACCACTTTTCAAATGATCCGGCAACACTGTAACGCTGATAATAGTTTAGATAGATGGAGCAAGTTGCCAAAAATTCAAATTTTCAAAACAATCCTATCACCGGTCCTCCTATTACCATCGCCGGAAAGTCGATTACCGGAAGCGGCTAGACAGCTAACTTTAAATCCATAAGGGTATTAATCCATTATGCTACCTAAAATTCGAAATTTGAAGTTTGTGACACATCTAGAAGTACCTTAAAATTTTGATGATCTGTCAGTGAACCGATGTCGAAATTAAAGAAATTTGACAAGTGATAATTCATAAACTATGAGGAATAATTCCTAGATATTTTGATAATCTGGCCAGCTATTAGTACGAGAGCTAGCAACGTCGGAAAAACTCTCTAGAACAATGAAGAAATGCTCTCTAGAACAGCATGCGGCTGGTCTGGCTGCCTGTCTGCCCGTAAACGTTGCGT